TGTGTGTGTGTGTGTGTGTGTGTGTGTGTGTGTGTGTGCAAAAGGCTGTGGTTGTAAAGTGAAGGCAGCGTGGCTCAGTCAGAGTGGAGCCAGGTAACCAAGGAACGTTGCGGCTAATTTGTAAACGCTACCCACTATGTAACCATGACTCATGGGATTTTTTTTTTATTTACTTGATTGCATATTTTATTCTGATACTGTGACGTGTGGCCCGGCAGGTTTGTTGTTGTTCTTTTGGAAAAGGCAGTGAGTGCATTTCTACAGCTGAAGGTTAAGTCGGGTGAGACAAACCCAAATATATGATGTTTGAAAGCGTCTGCTCAGCTTCGTGCGAGCGTCCCTGAACAAGAAGCTGACGTTTCTTGACCTTGAGACTTTTAAGATCAGACAGTTTTTAGGTGTTTGGCTTCCAGGTCTTTTGATTTCAATTATTGATTCTGTCCGTCAAATGGAGAAAAAAGTAAATACAGACAGCTCATGTTGAGAAAAAGGCTTTGAAGTTTTTAGTCTGGCCCTTTTTTAGGGCAGACTTCAAGGCTGTTTATTAAAATTTTTGGAATATAACTCATCTGAATAAATGCAAATATACACCTATGAATCGTTTTCATATAGGAAAATACTTTATCTAAAAACATGGGGTGTATATTTTTTCTTGCCAATTAAAGTCTGTGCAGAAGAAAATAAACACTTACTATATCATTCTGTACATACGTAACAATTTATACTGTGATGACTGTAAAAATACAAAATACATTTCAGAATAAGATGTAAAACACACTCATTATGAATCTGCTGTAAAAACTGAAGTTACAGACGTGCTACTAAATTAGGCTGCTTACCTTTTACCAGAACTCTATTTACATATTTATTGTGATCCTCTCAGACTATTCTGGTTATTAATCTCGTTAAATAACTTTTTTCAACAAGCAAGGCTACGGCTCATGAGTTAGAACGGGTCGTCCACTTCTCAGAAGGTTGTGGTCTGATCCCTGGCTCCTGCAGTCCTGCAGTGTCCCTGTGCAAGACACACAGACCCTCTCCTCACTGAATCTAAGAAATTTGCAAAACAAACTTTTCCCTCTGTGTCTCTCATCCACACAATGATTTTTCCAAAAGACTGAATTTTTTAATTTAGCATAACTTTGTGTTCTTGTCTGGACTGAGATATTTCGGAAAACAAGGGTCCAAAAAATGTCTGCAGTTTACCGGCAGTGTGTGATTGGGATGTAGTGTGATATACAGAAGTATTATCTAAATGTGTGTGTGAATCCTCTGGTTCATAGTGTAAAGCTCTTTGAGTGGTTGTTAGGACAAGAAAAGCCTTGTAGAACCACCATTTACCATTTATTCTATATGAAAAGATGTTACCACCTCCAAAAAACAGGTAGGTGTCTGCATGAGAGTCAGTTGTTACAACATGGTCCACAGAGCAGAGGCTCATGTACGAGGGAAGTCACGCTATTCCCCAGAGCCCCTCCCCCCCACGTCAGCTGCAGCTGCACCGTGTTTTGACCGAACGCTGTGCTGAAGTGCTACACCTGACATGTGTGCCCTTTTTAGAGCGGCACGGCCTATTCTCTGCGGACAGGAAGTTCATTTCCTCAGAGGATGGAGCCACACCTATTGCATTTTATAATTCCATATTATAACTAACACTATCATAACATTCTTCGCGCTATTCTTTGTTCCACCGAAAAGGATGTTTTTGACCCTCACTCGACATTAGGATGTTTTCACGTTTTTCTGTGATCTTGTAGTCAGATGTTCAGCATGCCTGAGGCATATGCATCATTAAAAATACGTAGGTGGTGTTGAAGAAGAGAACTCTAGAGATCATTCACTTCTTACTGTACATTTTCTTTTGTTTAAGCGCTGCTGACACTTGCGATGCAAGAAGCTGCGTCCTGTGTTAACCTGTTTCTCCTGACAGCAAGCATAAGACACACAAAGCTTTGAGAAGGTGATAATTGAAATGTCATCACTCTGTCATCGCCTCATGAGATTGTGGCCGATTTATACTCAATGTGAGACATGCTCCCAAAACATAAGACATCCACTTCGTGGTTATAAATGCTTTAAGTTATGTTTTAAACAATGTCTTGATGATCTTTTTTCTCTGTAGGTTCCCCTAGTTTAAAATTTTTGCTCTTGTCTTTTCTGATTTCTGTCCCTACTTTGTTCTCTTACTGTTCCTTGTTGGTTTTTAACCATTCTGTCCCATTGTTCTGATTTGTAAAACTTCTTTTACACCAAACTATGAACTCATTTCTCTTCTTGCTTTGTTTGTTCAGAAACACTGAACAAAAGAAACATGGTGGAAATCCATTTTTTATGGTGACTAGAGCTAGTCGAGGACATCTATGAAAGACGAATGTCCATCACATTATGAGAAAAAAAATTGATTTTATTACAGAGAAAAGTCCTTGAAAGTCCTCGCATTGTGCCGCTCAGGCAACAGACGGACACTGAAGGGTTAACGGCAGAACTGAACAACAGAAAAAGAGAGAGCTGGGGACTGGAGCTTCTTCTGCTGCTGGAGCCGAGGCGTGACCCTCGAGATAGGCACCAGGCTATCATGAGGGCGTCTCCTCGAGCGCCTGGCCAGAAGAACACAGAGGTCTTTGTGTGCGGAAAAAACTGCTGAGCCAAGCAGTTGCCCTCACCCCCCACCCCATACCATTTTCCTTTTTTTCTCTCTCTCTTTCTCTGTTTCCCTGAAGACATACACACATTCTCATGCACACACACTCTGTATTTTCCAGCAGAAGTCCCAGGGGGGGCTTTCTCTCCAGCTGGTGTTGGGTTAAGGAGGGACACACAGAGCCTGTTTTGTGGTTACAACATAAAGCCTGGATGTGTTAGCATTGCATTCTGGGAGACTTTTTTTTTTAATAAGCTTTAACATAACCTGCTGAGAAAGATCCGAGTTTCCAGTTATGGTAGAAGAAACCTTGTCCTCCCTCAGCAACCCGCCTGCTTTTCATCTCCAACCACTGTAAGAAGATGTGTTTACTGGTCTGCTCTCAATTCTTCACAGCGATTTGTTATTTTGCCAAGAGCGCACACACAGAAAATGTCTTTTATTTACCGCTATATGTTTCACATAAATCGAGGGCATCAACTGTTTCTGAAATTAGAACTGAGAGTGGAAACACGGCAGCGTCTCATTAGCTCCGAGTTCAGCTTGGGAAACGCAAACAATATGGCTTTATTCCTTTCAAGTGATGTGACAATCCAAACTTAAATTAGTCTCACGTTGCTCTCAGACAACCCGCTCCATGCAAATACAGGGCTGGTCATCCGTCTGCGAGTGGTTTTGCATTGAGCATGTTCAAACACTTGCTGACTCTCACTTACCTGAACGCACTGTTTACAAAAGCAGGAACAAGCATGTTCTTTCTGTGTGCATAGTGAAAACAGCAGTAACAGTTTTTGACACATCACAGCATCGACTCATAGCAGCCCCGGCCCTGCAGCCTGACACACAGGCCTTATCTGAAAGCATGAATCCTCTATTTTTATGAGGACGTGTTTCTGCCCTCCACACACTA